TTGCACCTTATTTGAATGAAATATTGGACTGAATGTGAATCAGAAAGAAATTACCATTGATTATGGTCATACTGACAATGAAATAATCTGAGTACATAACATTAAATTCTGATGTTGGACCACTTAAATGAGGCTTGGATGATCATTTCCAAACTGTTTTTGTAGTCATTGCTCCTTATTTGAATGAGATATTGGACTGAATGTGAATCAGAAAGAAATTGCCATTGATGATGGTGATGCTGAGAAATAAATAATCTGAGTACATAACAATCAATTGTGATGTTGGACCTGTTAAATGAGGCTTGGATGATCATTTCCAAACTGTTTTTGTAGCCATTGCACCTTATTTTAATAAAATATTGGACTGAATGCGAGTCAGAAAGAAATGGCCATTGATGATAGTGATGCTGAGAAATAAATAATCTGAGTACATAACAATCAATTCAGATGTTGGACCACTTAAATGAGGCTTGGATGATCATTTCCAAACTGTTTTTGTAGCCATTGCACCTTATTTGAATGAGATATTGGATTGAATGCGAATCAGAAAGAAATGGCCATGGATGATGGTGATAATGAGAATTAAATAATCTGAGTACATAACAATCTATTGTGATGTTGGACCTGGTTAAAAAACCTTCGATAATTATTTCCCAACAGTTTTTGTAGCCATTGCACCTTCTTTGAATGAAATATTGGACTGAATGCGAATCAGATAGAAATGGCCATTGATGATGGTGATGCTGAGAAATAAATAATCTGAGTACATAACAATCAATTCAGATGTTGGACCTGTTAAATGAGGCTTGGATAATTATTTCCAAACCGTTTTTGTAGCCATTGCACCTTATTTGAATGAAATATTGGACTGAATGCGAATCAGATAGAAATGGCCATTGATGATGGTGATGCTGAGAAATAAATAATCTGAGTACATAACAATCAATTCTGATGTTGGACCACTTAAATGAGGCTTGGATAATTATTTCCAAACTGTTTTTGTAGCCATTGCACCTTATTTGAATGAATTATTGAACTGAATGTGAATCAGAAAGAAATGGCCATTGATGATAGTGATGCTGAGAAATAAATAATCTGAGTACATAACAATCAATTCAGATGTTGGACCACTTAAATGAGGCTCAGATAATTATTTCCAAACTGTTTTTGTAGCCATTGCACCTTATTTGAATGAGATATTGGACTGAATGTGAATCAGAAAGAAATGGCCATTGATGATAGTTATACTGACAATGAAATAATCTGAGTACATAACAATCAATTGTGATGTTGGACCTGTTAAATGAGGCTTGGATGATCATTTCCAAACTGTTTTTGTAGCCATTGCACCTTATTTGAATGAAATATTGGACTGAATGCGAGTCGGAAAGAAATGGCCATTGATGATAGTGATGCTGAGAAATAAATAATCTGAGTACATAACAATCAATTCAGATGTTGGACCACTCAAATGAGGCTTGGATAATTATTTCCAAACTGTTTTTGTAGCCATTGCACCTTACTTTTAACATTTGTTACACACAATGTTTTCTAATTGTCAAAAGTTATAAAATACAGTCAGATTTTAAATTTCATGCTATGAGTTGTTATTCTTTTATTAATCAATGTGAAGAAAGCGTTATGAGTAAAGATTTAAAAAAAAACATTTTATATTGAGATATAAAACAGCTTGTTTATTGTCCTGCAATGTGGTTTACTACAATAGAAAGAGTAGAAAGTGATATTTCTGAAGGAGGATATACATCAATTTTGTCTGATTTTAATTATTTATTGAAAGTTTTATTCAAACATTTCCACACAGCATAACATAGCAATGTTTGCAATTCACTTCATCCCAACCATTAAAAAACTGTTGCACATTTAAGTATCACAGTTCAAGTTTTAGAAACTTGTGGTTACTTCTGTAGGTTCCAGAAAAGATGTTTCAATTTGCTTTGGAGCAGTCATCCCATGTCTTCAAAACCTGGTCAAATAAATTACATGTCATTGTTGAAAGTATCACATCAACATACTTTTTAGTTTGATCCTAAATTGTGACAACATTGGCAAAATAAAAAAATACATTAATAAATAAACATGTTCTCTATTTAAGTAGCCTATGTTCAGTATTTAAAATGTCGTAGTTATCTTTGAACACAACATCATTATTTTTACTTTTATCATTGTGACAGGAACCTTTATATCATTACAAAACAATGCAACTGATAACATTCAATACTATTTGGATGTGAACTTGAATTTGAAAACTGACACTGTATATCTCCATATCTCAGATTTCAGGTACAGAGTCAGGCCTAATGCAGTCAATGTGTGCGCATTAAAAGCATTATATGCAGTTGTAAAGCAGTGAGAGTTCCTGATCCAGAGATAATAAGTTCGAATGTAGAGTAATGCAGGTACTGTAGAAAGTACTGTAGAATTGTAATTATTGTTATACAGGGTTACAAAAATGATGCTATATTGATGGCGTATCGACAGTTGTACCCTAGGCTATCTAGACTTTACCATAAAACAATAACATCAATAAAATATACAAAATCATACAAATCTTTTAGGCTATATGAAAAAGTTTTATTCTAGCCTTCAGTCAAATATAGAGTCGCTAGGTGTCGAAGCGCTTCTGAAATGATCGATGCTTTGAATCAGTTTAGTCACGTGACCTGGGTGTTTCGGATCAAGCTTCGGTGCAGTGTTTCGAAACACTTGCGTTTCGGGATCTCGACACTGTGTCGAAACGTCAGCCATCCCTACTTTTTACACGGTCCCTACTTTCACGTCCCACTGTTTCACGCACTATTGGATATACGACGGACATTCGCTGGTAACTGTGCCGTTTAAACTATATTCAACCATGTTTTTCGATTGTGAAAAAAAGAAAATAGTATGGTACTCAACATCATGTAGCAGATTACACTTTGAAAACACAACTTTATTGTGCATTTTATGACATTTTCATCGAAAACGGAAGCTCGAATGTGCGAATGTGCGAATATAAAACTCACTTTACCCCGGTTGGAAACCAGCCTGGAAATGGCCAAAACCCCTCTAAATCCCTGCTGAAAAATCCAACTTAAACCAGCCTAAGCTGGTTGGCTGGTTTTAGCTGGTCGACCAGGCTGGTTTTAGAGGGGTTTTGGCCACTTCCAGGCTGGTTTCCAGCCATTTCCAGCCTGGCCGTAGCTGGTCAGGCTGGGAGATGACCAGCTAAAACCAGCTTGACCAGCCTAGCCAAGCTGGGAGTCCAGCCAAAACCAGCTATATCCAGCTTAAACCAGGCTGGTCAAGCTGGTTTTAGCTGGATTTGGCTGGTCATTTTCCAGCCTGACCAGCTAAGACCAGGCTGGAAATGGCTGGAAACCAGCCTGGAAATGGCCAAAAACCCTCTAAAACCAGGCTGGTCGACCAGCTAAAACCAGCCAACCAGCCTAGGCTGGTTTAAGTTGGATTTTTCAGCAGGGAAACTAGGCTGGTTGACCAGCTAAAACCAGCCAACCAACCTAGGCTGGTTTAAGCTGGATTTTTCTGTAGGGAGTTTATCCTTTAGGATCCTATAGGATCTTAATGAATTCCTAAAGTCCTATGAACATTCAGATTTTTGTTTATGGAACTTCCACTTTGTCCTATAGGATCTGATTCGGATTTTTAGAATTGTTAGACAGTGGCTGCGTTCCTCAGCGGGTACTGCATTTGAATTTAAACGTACTACTCGGCCGTTAGTAAAGTACGTTCTTTACAGTATGATTGTGAGGAGTATGAATGGAATTCGGATGTACTACATCGGCCATTTTGTCATGGTCACGTGACCTACCTGCGTCAGTTGTGTCGCTTTAATCCCATTTATGAATTCGCTCGAGGGGCATCATGGGACAGCGCAGCGTGCATGGGATGCACACTCAAGAATCTCGCCGGAAGTAGTAAGTCATCCTGGTACTTCTCGCATACTGATTTTCCAATTCTATGAATTCGGACATACTACTCGGCTCGCATACTGATTTTAGCGTACTGTATAGTATGGAAGTATGCGGTTTCGGACGCAGCCATGGTATTTCACGGTAAAAAAGTGGTTTAAATAAAAGCGTACTACTTATTTATGTGTAAAGTCAGCGTGAGCCAGAAGTTGCAGAGACTTTTATTTCAGTATGCTGATTTACTTACAACTGAAATTGAATATTAAGTAGGGGGCGGGACTTTCTATTTGCTCATCATTCGCTGATAGCGTACGAACAGTAAGAAGGTGTGGCTAAGAATATTGTGTCTAAAGCATCAAACTGACAGCAGAGAAAGAGTGCTCAAACGGTGAAGCAAATGTTCATACTTTGATTGAAGATTACCAATACAGTTGATTTATTTCAGTGGATTAACTTGCACAGATGAATTGGTCAGCTTTAGAATAACAATGTCTGCTAGCAAAATAAACATTGAGCATTTTGGATACAGAGAGGTGGAGGAGGTTTACCAGCGATCAAAGCTCGGCTCAGTGTATATGAGAAATAAAATATCCATGCACAACCTCCCTACTGAAAAAAACAGCTTAAACCAGCCTAGGCTGGTTTTAGCTGGTCGACCAGCCTGGTTTTAGATGGGTTTTGGCCATTTACATGCTGGTTTCCAGCCATTTCCAGCCTGGTCTTAGCTGGTCAGGCTGGGAGATGACCAGATAAAACCAGCTTGACCAGCCCATCCAAAACCAGCTATATCCAGCTTAAACCAGGCTGATCAAGCTGGTTTTAGCTGGTCATTTTCCAGCCTGACCGGTTAAGACCAGGCTGGAAATGGCCAAAACCCCTCTAAAACCAGCCTGTTCGACCAGCTAAAACCAGCCAACCAGCCTAGGCTGGTTTAAGCTGGATTTTTCAGCAGGGCTGTTAATTCAATAAGGAAACAATGAACTTTAACCCAAGGTAAGACTTGATACAAGAGACAGAAATGTTGTGATTAAGAAAACAACTCTGGAGTGTTGGTGTGCGTTCTGTCCTCAGTGTCGGGCCGAAGAGTTCAGCATCCAGCTGTGTGTCTGTGAAGAGTGATGGATCCATGCGGCATCCACCTGACCTCAGTGAAGAGACCTGCAACATCAGGTGGGGGAATTACTAGCTATTGGGACAAATACTATCTATTTCTAGAACAATTTAATGTGTATTATTACGCAGCTGGTGTGGCGGTGGCGCAGTGGGTAGCACGATCGTCTCACAGCAAGGAGGTCGCTGGTTTGAGCCACACAGTCAACATTGTCAAAAGCGCTATATAAGTAAACATGAATTGAATTTAGGTGAATTGAATAAACCGAATTGGTCCTAGTGTGTGGGTGTTTCCCAGTGATGGGATGGGCATCCGCTTTGTAAAACATATGCTGGATAAGTTGGCGGTTCATTCCGCTGTGGCAACCTGTGATTATCAAAGGGACCAAGTCGACAGAAACGGTATGAATGAATGTATTACGTGGCTGTCCTGAACATTCCTTTGTAAATGAAGCGCTGTAAGAGTAAATATTTCTCTCTAATAATTTACATGATACCTTATGCCTCCTCAGAGTGAAGATAATTAAATGTGTAATCTGTAAATCTTGCATTTTGCGCCCTGCGGCCAGTTTGAACGTATCCTGGCAGTCGTTGTCCAATAGCACACAGTAAACAACCTGTGGCTTGGGTTTTTTACGCTTAAAGATAACTGTGGGAGGAAAATTTTTACTGTTGTCTCACTAGAATACGCTGCAGGCTGAGGCGTGCATAATAATGATCTCAGAGCTTTTTTATGAGGTTGATGGCATGGCTGCTCTTCAAAGTCTGGATGAATGACCTAAAGTTGGCATATATGCAAATGCAGCAGGCATGACCTGTGAGTCTACTCACAGTTTGTTTTGTCTTCTGATCGGCTTGCTGCCCACCAGGGTTTTACACTTGTGGAATTTACATGAGAATGAAGTAACAGTGGTGGCTGATGTTCACAGTATGCCCACTTCCCTATACTAATCTTTTGTAATTCTCCTATGCTTTGGTATACCCAGATTTCCATGATGGGCACCTTTAAGTGGAGGAAGCAGAAAGTGTGTTGTCTTGGCGTACTTTATTTTGACTATAAGCTATTTTTGGCTTAATAATAAATAAGTTCAGAAACTTGCAGTTTGTTTTTGTAGTATAATGGCTAAAAACTGATTTAAAAAAATCAGATTTCTTCATTCACAGTATTTTTAATGATCAGCGATGAAGAGGAATAACATTAGTGATCAATGTTCTTGTCTCCGCATCAGACAAGAAGAAAGTCGGACAGCATCATGTCCAGAGCCCAGCTGCGTGTCTATGAAGAGTGACGGATCTATGCGGCATCCACCTGACCTCAGCGCTGAACCTGCGACCTCTGAGCCTCTGTGAGTACAGACACGTCCAAAGTGCTGCAGTGAAACAGAAATTATTTAATTTAAATAAGGAAAATGAAAATTATGTCGATTACGTGTTTTCAAGCCCCTGAGACCTTCATTCTTCATCTTCAGAACAGAAATTAAAGAGCCCATATTATACATGAAATAGGGTCATATCTTGGTTGTAAGAGTCTCCAACAACAGTCTAATATGCATGCAAGGTCAATAAACACTTTCATGGTCTTATAATCTGCATTTATTTTTACCTAATTATCCCAGCGACTCCTGTATGAATCGTCCAGTGGTTCATTTGTTCCCAAACCCCTCCTTAGCGCGGAGCTAATCTGCGCTGATTGGACCGATGACAGTCTGTCGCGATTGGTCGACTGCCTTCAGTCAGAGAGGGAAATGGCCAATAGCTAATCAGCAATTTAAAAAGTGATCACAGTTCATACACGCTCGATAGTGTAGGCGTGGATTTTAGCTGCCACACTATGGCGAGTGGATAGTGCCACGGATAACCGAACGAAGGAGACAGTCGTGTACTCGCCATACCACACACACACAAAAACACACACACACCTCCGGATGACAACGCTCCCGCTTCCGCCCGCACCCGCCAGGTTTTAGCCTGAGAACCCGCTCCGTTTTCTGCCCGCCGGTCCCGGTCCCGCTAGAGCGGAGAACACAACCAAAAATCACCCAGTATACAGTCCAGACAGCCAAGCTGTCTGTATAAACACATACACACAGCACAAAGCTCGTTCGTTCGTTCGTTCGCTCTCTCTCTTTCTCTCTCTCTCGCTCTCTCTCATACGCTCTCTCATACCAAGCAGACTCTCTCTTTCTAATTCGCATAGCAATATCCGTGATATTGCTAGACAGCCCGCTCCCGTCCCAAATTAAACCCGTTACCGACCGTTACCGCGATTTATTCGGAAATTTATTCCTGCGGCTGTCCCCGCGCCAGATTTCTGCGGTGCGGGAATAAATTTCCGAATAAATCGCGGGAGCAGAACTCTAGCACGGAGCTCCATAAACAAACAGCACGCGTCGCGTTTTTAACGTGACTTTGCACGCGATAAGATAATATATCCAGTTAACCTGATACAGTACACGCGGTTACAAGTAACAAATCACAACTAAATACATTTGCAAGCTAGAGTCAACAACTTTAACCGCACGTACTTACACTTGAGAAATGGAAGAAACCCATCCTGACGTCCATCAGTTACTCTTTACTGATCCTTCCTTTAACAAACTCAGATGAAGTATTCTTTGTAGCATGTAGCTTCCAGAAGTTTCCAACTGCTTGGTTATAATGCTGAGGTTTCATCTTTGGGTAGAGACTCAATATATCCATCTGCAGTGTGACTTCAATCAACCGGCATGTTTGTGTGTGTGTGTGTGTGTGTGTGTGTGTGTGTGTGTGTGTTTGTGGGTGTGTGTGTGTCTGGGTTTCTGCGTCAGAGGGCGGGGCCTCAGGTTTGAAATCTCCCGGGTTTGCGCGTGCACGTGAATAACTTGGTTTCGTTCGTACGTCATGGCGAAACACCTAATGAGTCGTGATAAAGGCGACTCGTTTGAAGCACTATGAGTCGACTCTTTTATAGATGAATCAACAGTTTTAAACACTGTATTCTTACAGATTTAAGCCTTAGCTGGATACTTCACTTCACTTAGAGCTGTGTTACACACTACATGGAGGGGAATTTTCAAACTCCCATAATATGGGCTCTTTAAGATGAAATCTGAGAGCTCCCTCATCCTCCATTGACAGCATTCATTAATTTTCTTGTCGGCTTAGTCCCTTTATTAATCCGGGGTCGCAACAGTGGAATGAACCGCCAACTTATCCAGCAAGTTTTTACGCAGCGTATGCCCTTCCAGCTGCAACCCATCTCTGGGAAACATCCACACACACACAATTACACACATTAATACACTACAGACAATTTAGCCTACCCAATTCACCTGTACCGATTGTCTATGGACTGTGGGGGAAACCGGAGCACCCGGAGGAAACTCACGCGAACACAAGGAGAACATGCAAACTCCACACAGAAACGCCAACTGAGCCGAGGCTCGAACCAGTGACCTTCTTGCTATGAGGCGACAACACTACCTACTGCGCCACTGCTCGACAGCAATGGTCCATAAATGCCCAAAGTCCAAAAAAAGGAAGCAAAAATGTGAAATGTGACTTTAGTGGTTCAACTTTATTCATACGAAGCTCTATGAACACATTTGTGTACCAAAAACTGTAAATACACTTCTTCCTCATCAGGGCAGGGTGTGCGTTAACTACAAGCAATACAACGTATTGCCGCTAGAGTCGAGCTTTAAATAGGAAAATTATCGAAATTCTTTTGTCGTTTTGGAACGAGATGCTAATGGTCTAATCCGATTCAATGATTTATGCTAAGCTAAGTTTAAAATGCTCCAGCCAGATCCAATGATTGTCTGAATGGATTAAAAATGGGAAAACTGTTCAACCCTGCGGGAAAAGTTTCCAAAAACAATTGGAGTGTCCTTTAAACAGCCAGTTTCACCAATGAGGAGTAACTGTGAAGAAAGTGGATTATTTATTTTGTGCAACGAGGCCAACATTTCTGCTTTTGTCCACATTCAGAAATAAAAGCCTTGTGAGGACACGGCAGAGATCAGAGCCCAGCTGTGTGTCTGTGAAGAGTGACGGATCTATGCGGCATCCTCCTGACCTCAGTGCTGAAGCTGTGACCTCTGACCATCTGTGAGTACAGACGTGCACACGTCAAATAAACAATAAAAATATGGCACTAAAATGCATGTTTATTATGTTTGAAAATGTATTAAAATAGAATGATTGCCTGCATATCAAGCTCTAATATATTTGGGAAATTATATTAATAGATTAGCCACATTAAATTAGGGATAAAGTACATGCAGGAGGATGTTATTGCAGAATTAAGCCCGATATTCTTATTGCCAGCCTATTGTGAGATAGAGCACTGTTGTATTAGACTGCAGGTCTTCATTTCCACTGAGTGGTACGGTACCGTTCATTTCGGTACACTTTTATGGCTGTTTCCACTGTCAAAAGGTACCTAAAAGCAAACCGTACCGTACCACTTTTTGGTTACTTTTTGCAAAGGGTGCCAAGTAGGACCAGTGCCGTAGCAGACGGGCCCGCAGGGCACGCACCGCGGGGGGCCCGCATCGTTGCGATTTTCAATAATTGAAAATCCAGGAACCGCAATAATCAAACTCTTGGGAACAACTGTGGTCAGAACCAAAGTTCAAAGGTCTGTGTTCTCTGAACTCCTCCCAAGCGGTGGACTACTTCATTCTGATTGCTTGCCGCCGAACCGCGTCATAGCCAATGAAGACGCGCTGCTGTTTCTCGCCGCCGGTTCTCGTTAAAAAATTAATGACTTCTGGTTACTTTGACGCTCTCGCCGCTTTCGGTTTGTGATCGCTCCTCAGTTTGTGAAGGCTTCCCCGCGTTGTCGCTCCACCCCGCCTCCTTTCCCCGCTCCTCAATTTGTGACATAGATATATACACTAGATATCGCATAGGGAGCATGCGTCAATAGCGCCGCCACATTAGTACAGTGCTTCCAGGACAAATGTCATTCAACCGCACTAGACAAGACAGTGTTATTACGTGAAGATGCGGGACTTTAGCGCTGTCTACGAGTGTAGTAACGAGCAAACAAAGAAAACAAAGCACAAACGCAGAACATTTCACAGGTACGACTAAGTTTTTTACGTTTTTGTATGTTATGAACTTGCTAATCAGGTAACGTTATTGATGATAACAGTCACTTACTGCATTCACCATACGGCAAAGCAGCTCCAACTCGCACTAAACACTCGGCTTATGCTAGTTTTGTTGAATAAAATCAGCAAACAATGCAAAAGAAATATGACAACGAGATGCTGCGCTGCCAGAAACTTGTATTATTGTCGGCTAGTGAACGAGTCGTTCATAACGGAGATTCATTCACAAACGAATCGCTCCCTCCGTCAGTATGAGAAGTGAAAGCAGGAGAGGAGCTGTGTTTCAGGACATGATTAGATCAAATTTAACAGGGAGGGTGAATAGTACATTTCTGTACACACAAACACAAGCTTTTGTCAGGAATGCCCGTGCGGTCACTGATCCATCAATGTAGAAAAGTGATCTAAAATTATACCTTTCGTAATTTAAAATTTAAAAAATTTTTTTTTTTAAACGGGGCCTTCAACTGGGGGCCCGGTCGGTGATCCCTGCAGGGGGGCCTCCGCATTTTGCGCTACGCCACTGAGTAGGACAAAGGGTACCCAAAGGCGGAGCTAGACGCGTAGCTGAACACTATTGGTTTAAAGAGATACGTCACTCACAGAAGCAGGAGAATGAAAACCAGAACCGCCATTTTTAAATACACAGCCAAGACATTGCACCCAATGCTGGCGCATCCATAGAGGCGACTTAGGTGGCCGCCTAAGGGAGCAGAATAGTAAGAGTGGCGTCCACGAACCGCCGGTTTCATTCACGACAACCACCCCCTCCCTTCCAATCCTCACTTTCATCCACGACACTTCACCCCCCCACCCCCGCCCACTCCCTGTCCTCACTTTCAACCGCAAACCGGTCACTTTCTTTTTCACTTTTAGATTGAGGACAGCGTGATCGTCTTGCATTCATAATAGTTACTAGGGGTGTAACGATACACTCAGCTCGCGATACGATGTGTATCACGATATAATGTTCACAATTGGATATGTATCACGATATTTGAAATAAAATTGAAAATTTTACTGAAATGCAAATTTTACCAAGTAAACTATTTTTTATGTATTTCTTTTGTTTCAACTTGTTAAACTGAACCGAAGAAAATAAATTAAACAGGCCTGTGTCTGGAAAATAAAACAATTAAAAAACTTCTTAAAAATATTATTGAAATGACAGAGACAAAATTAAGCAACAATTTAAGTAAAGGTGCAAAAAAAATAAGCTTTCTATTCAATTGAATTTAACAGTAAGGGCTTAAGGCTTTGCTTGGTCACTTGCGTTTTTTGAGTGTGCAAAAACAAATCCACATTTCCACGTATTTAATTCATATTTAATTAAATTCATTTAGAGATATCTCTAATTACAATTGTGACTAGTCAAAACTCATTTAGAGATATCTGCAAATATTTTTCAATGGAAGTCAATGGAGGAATATGACTAGTCATAATATATTTGCAGATATCTCCAATCTGATTTCGTACTACTACAATTGTAATTACAGATATCTCTAATTGTCATTCTGACTAGTCGAATTATAATTATGACTAGTCAAAATATAATTAGAGATATCTCTTAATATATTTATGGATAGTCAGAACAAAGGTTTAAATGCTAAAACGTCTTGCCATACGTCTATCATAGTCCGCCCTCTGTAGTAACAGCTCACGGTCAGCGCACATCATGTGTGATTTTGAGTCCACCAATACATGATTATATGAAGACAGAATGATATTTTAGGGTGAATTGTACCTTATAAATACAGTATGTGACTCTTTCAACACCATTAGGAGGTATCCCTGTCGCTGTGCAAAGTATGTAAATCACTGTGAAGACTTTAAAACTTAGGATGTTTGACCCAGTATGCGTGTCAAAAAGCGGACGAGTCTAAAGCAATGACTGTACAACCGAAATGCTGCCAGACGTCTGATTTTGAGAGGATGGGCTATCCTCTATTTCAACTCCACTCATCTTGGTCTGCTAACATTACTGCTGCTGCAATCTGAACTCACGTGCGACAGCAGGTGGAACGTAGCTCACGTGCAAACAGCTCAACTAATAAGAGAAAACGGACGTCATATCGTAATCAAATCGTCATAACGCCACGATGCATATTGTGACATTTTTGCATCGCAATAAATCGTACAACGATAAATCGTTACACCCCTAATAGTTACATTAGGCTATTTCACACTGTCATTGATCTGCAGTTATAATCAAATCATGTTCACAGAACGGTTAGTAATGAACATTTATACACAAGTATTTATGTGTATAAGCATCTGTTTTGTGTAAAGTGCTTCTCGTACCCTTGGTACCCTTAGGCAGCGGAAACGCAAGTCTGATAAAGGTGAACCGTATTGTACTGTACCAGTCAGTGGAAATGGGCCATTATTTTATGGCTATTAGGCTCAAAACGTTACATGTTAAAAACGTAAAAAACAATTAGACACAAAACTGACTTCTTTAGAGTCAAAGATGACAGAAATGAAAATGGCTAAGTGGAGCATACACTAACCTACATATTATTTTGTCATAAGATGACACCAAACAATCAAAAAGAATGGTGTGACAGGCAAGCATATGAATAGACGTGACATTAGCCCCTTTCACACAGTGATCCCGGTAAATATCCGGAAAATTTCCGGAACGACTTTACCGGTATATTCAAAAAAGCGCTGTTCACACAGGCGAGGACGTTACGGAAATTTTCCGTAAAAGAGCATTCACACATCCATTCCAAAATACCGGTAAATTCTGACATCATTCACCACAGATGAGCTTTAAACGGCTGCGCTTGTGTTTGTAAACATTTGACTAAATTACAAACTCTGTGGATGATCAATATTGTGAACAACTTTCTCAGGATCACTTTCGCATGTCGAGATGTTCATAATATGTGCGTGTGCAGGCGCTCACAGGCTGTTTCACAGGCACACGCAAAGCTTGAAGGTAAACAAACAACGGCTTATCATAAGCATCTCATCGATGATTATTTACACAGTTGGCATTAAGAAGAACATTTAAACGTTATCTGACTAACTTCTAGCAGCTAAATGCGTCTGGAAAAATATTCAAAGGCTTTTATTCTCACAAACCGCGCGGACGTAAATGCATCTAACTGTTGTGATTGGCTAAAGCAGACGTCTTACGTCAGCACGTTCTAGACGTGCACGCACTCTTTCCGGCAATCTTCCTTCTGCATTCACACAGCGCAGCATTCCGGCAATATTTTCAAAAAGGACCTGTTCACACATACAACCTTTCCGGAAAATTCCGGTAAATTTCCGGAAAGGTCTGTATGTGTGAAAGGGCTATATGAATGAGCAACAAAAGTGTGTTTGGATCTTGTTTGCCGATTTATTTTGCCCACTGTCTCATCTGGTTGCCTATTGGTGGCATTACTGCACAAAAACTGCCCTGTGTATCATCACCTATAGGTTTCAGAGCATATGTCACTGTAACAAATGTGTCTCTTCCACACCGCAAGATATATCTTTAGTTCAAAGTGTTTCCGTTCTAGTTCTAATCTATTCCATTTGGTTCATAAGAGCAGATATAAAATCTACCAGATCAGGAGGCTGACAATGAATCTTCAGTTGCAGCCTGAAGAATTTATTAATATTTGGTAGAATTTATTTTCAATCATGGCCAGACTTAATATAGAGCAGGGGTCACCAAACTTGTTCCTGGAGGGTCGGTGTCCTGCAGATTTTAGCTCCAACCCTAATCAAACACACCTGAACAAGCCTAATCAAGGTCTTACTTGGTATACTTGAAACATCCAGGCAGGTGTGTTAAGGCAAGTTGGAGCTAAACCCTGCAGGGACACCAGCCCTCCATGACCAGGATTGGTGACCCCTAATATAGAGTCTAGAATAGGAGCATTTTTATGAGAGAACACACAAGAAAATAGTATGTAGAATAGTAAAAAGGAAATTCCCTCATAGTAACATTAAACACAGATTGAACATAGATTGAATACCACAGTGTGGCTAAAGGCTGGTTTTTAAAGTACTTCTGTGTCGAGTGATCGCCACGGCGCCTGCCTTGCCACTTAGTCGTGCATTTATACTTCTGCATGCTGTTTGTGTTGCTCCGCAATAACGCTAGCTGGCAGTAGGTTATGTTATATCCCTCTGTGTCGAGTTTCTTCACTGGTGTTTTGTTTTTTCTGAATGCTACCTTAATGTACGAGGAGCTCAAATTAGAGGTGGGAACCGGCAGACGTGCAACAACTTTAATCATAAGGTAAACGCAAAACATCTGAAGCACCATCACGGGACTTGACAATTGTAAACACTCACTCCATCGGGCTCTCAGCACCGCCCACACTCGTCACAGCCACCAAGCCGACCAATCGCTTGTGCTACATGATGTGCGTCGTGTAGTTACATTTTTGAGAGGTGTACGTCACAGTGTGGGCTTTGCAAGCACGCGAAGGCTGGGCCAGACCTTACGCGCGCGCTTGATGCAGAAGTATAAATCAGCCTTTGTAAATAAACACATAAATGGATTTGCAATTGAACAGGTGGGTCTCCAGAGCTCCCCCTTAGAAAAGGGTTGACGAGGAGGAGATAGGGTGGAGGGGGGGATTCTTCCAAAACGAAGTTAGAGTAGTAGAGAGAAAGACGATCCATTTATAGTAGGCTTGGATCACTCTGAATGGATTATTACTGATTACAGATGTGAAGCCAGTCGTGTTGCATCATATCACATGCTCCTCTAGAAATTAGTTTGTGAAACTTCACTTATTGCCTGTCCAGTGTTCCTTCACTCTTGTTTGTGTTTCTGCAGTGTGGATAGGGATGATCAGACTAACACCCTGAAGCGGGTTTCTCGGCAACAAGTCGATCAACTACAGCAGGTCAAAGATGAGCATAAAGCCAGCATGAAGGACAAGTACGAGAGCTTATATGAGCCAGTCAAACTTCAAGACAACCAAACCCTCTTAAACAGCATCTACACACAGCTCTACATCATAGAAGGAGAGAGTGAATGGGTGAAGGATGAAGACTTCGAGAAAAGTCCTACAGCTCAGCAGTCACAAGACACTCTCATCTACTGCAATGACATCTTTAAAACCTCCAGTCAGGTAAAAGATGAAATAAGGGTCGTTCTCACTAAAGGCATCGCTGGGATTGGAAAAACCGTCTCCGTGCAGAAGTTCATTCTGGACTGGAGTGAAGGAAGAGCCAATCAGGATGTAGATTTCCTGTTTGTGCTTCCATTTCGAGAGCTGAACATGATTAAAGATCATCAGTACAGTCTTCACAGCCTGTTACGCGACTTTCATCCTAAACTTCAGAATCTGGACTCCAGGATCTATGAGCAGTGTCGAGTTGTGTTCATCTTCGATGGTCTGGATGAAAGCAGAATCACGCTGAACTTTTCAGACTGCGAGAAAGTGTGTGATGTGAACGAGTCTTCATCGGTTGGTGTGTTGACGTCGAACCTCATCAGAGGAGATCTGCTTCCCTCGGCTCTCATCTGGATCACCTCCAGAGCAGCAGCAGCCAGTCAGATCCCCTCCAAATACATCAACCGTGTGACAGAGATCCAGGGCTTTGATGAACCTCAGAAGAGGGAATATTTCACCAGGAGAATCGGCAACGAGGAGCAAGCCAACACGATCATATCACACGTTCGAAAAGCAAGAAGCCTTCACATCATGTGCCACATACCCGTCTTCTGCTGCATCTCCGCCACCGTTCTTGAAAACATAATCACACGAGGTTCAGAAATCCCTCAAAGTCTGACCGAAATGTACATCCACTTCCTGCTCATTCAGATCCACGTGAACAATCAGAAATATGAAGAGAGAGATCCTGAGAAAGTCCTGGAATCTAACAGAGGACTGATCGTTAAACTCGCTGAGCTGGCTTTCAGACAGCTGATGAAGGGTAATGTGATGTTCTACGAGGAGGACCTGACTGAGAGCGGCATGGATATAGATGCTGCGGTGTACTCGGGGATCTGCACTGCCTTCAAGCAGGAGCTTGTGATTCAGCAGAGGAAAGTCTACAGCTTCATCCACCTGAGCTTTCAGGAGTTTCTTGCTGCTTTTTATGCATTTTACTGCCATTTGACGAAGAACAGGAAGCCTCTGCAAGAGTTCCTCCGTGAGGAATATTCACAGCAGGATCGTAAGTCTCCGAGGAGCTCTTTGTATGAGCTGCTAACTTCAGCTGCTGATAAAACTCTCAAGAGTAAAAACGGACGGCTGGACCTCTTTCTGCGTTTCCTGCTTGGCATCTCGCTGGAGTCCAATCAAAGACTCCTCAAGGATCTACTGACACACACCGAGAGCAGCACGGACACCATCGGGGAGACGGCGCAGTACATTAAACAGAGAGTCAACTGCTATAATCTCTCAGCCGACAGGTCCATCAATCTGTTCCTCTGTCTGCTGGAGGTCAACGATCAGACTCTGTCCAGAGAGATTCAGGAGTTTATCCGGTCAGACAAACACTCGGAGGAGAAGCTGTCTCCAGTTCACTGCTCAGCAATAGCCCACATGATCCAGATGTCTGAGGAAGTGCTGGAGGAGTTTGAGCCTATAAAATACAACACATCCTATGAAGGGAGATGGAGACTGATCCCGGCAGTGCTGAACTGTAGAAAAGCTCTGTGAGTATCCAACGATCCTATCATACACCGTTTGCAATTTGACGACAGGTGCAACACGATCTAGTTTCAACGTGGTGCAGGTGTCAATTTCATTTCCTGTGCCACATAGTTTAAATGGCAAATGCCTTTGCGCACTGATTGGCAATGAGGTGTGTTATTGTGCATTGTTTCTATTTGATGGAACTCAAATAGACTGTGCCATTGACTGAACACTGCTGTAACAGGGTGTCCGTGGGGTTGTAAAAGGTAGTAAATGAAATTAGCCAAAATTAAGAGCATTAAAAAGTAATAAACGTCATCTGACGAGGTAATGTAAGTGCAGGCCTTTCATTCATTCATACATTCAATCATTTTCTGCCGCTTTTCCGGGGCCGGGTCGCGGGGGCAGCAGTCTTAGGAGAGAACCCCAGACTTCCCTTTCCCCAGACACTTTCTCCAGCTTCTTCAGGGGGATCCTGAGGTGTTCCCAGGCCAGCCGAGAGACATACTTCCTCCAGCGTGTACTGGGTCTTCCCGGAGGCCTCCTCCCGCTAGGACATGCCTGGAACACCTCCCTGGGTAGGCGTCCAGGAGGCATTCATGCCCGAGCCACCTCAGCTGACTTCTCTCAATGTGGAGGAGCAGCTCTACTTCGAGCTCCTCCCGGGTGTCAGAGCTCCTCACCCAATTCATTTGAGTGCGCCCTGCCACCCTTCGAAGGAAGCTAAATTCGGCCGCTTGTATCTGAGATCTTGTCCTAACGGTCATGACCCAAAGCTCATGACTATAGGTGAGAGTAGGAACGTAGATTGACCGGTAAATCGAGAGCTTTGCCTTTCGGCTCAGCTCCTTCTTTACCACAACCGACCGGTACATCGACGGCATTACTGCTGCCACTGCACCAATCCGCCTGTCAATCTCACGCTCCATCCTTCCCTCACTCGTGAACAAAACCCAGAGGTACTTAAACTCCTCTACCAGGGATAAGGACTTTCCTTTAACCTAGAGATGGCAACCACCTTTTCCAGGTGGAGGCAGGCCTTTATTCTAAAATTTGCAGGGATTTACTTACACGTTGAAAGTAAGACCTGAGCGATATCATGTGGGGTAGTGTTCTTTCACGAATTAAATAAAAATATGGGGAAATGCAAGTTTTCGGACCTCTGGCTGGAGGACTCGATTTAAAGACTGGCTCAGGCCTGTTCCTGGCAACAGCCGCGAGGCTTATTGCCGCGTCTGCAAGAAGACGATTATATAACCTGGCTTGCACGTGCTTCACACAGCGTCTGCAGTTAAACACCGCGGTTTATCATGACACTTCTATCCATAATTTTTTTCTTACAATTGACAGCAAGAACAAACATAGAAGCGCAGTCTGATTGTCAAGCAGCAGCTAATTATGTTCAGAAGAATTTAAAACGCCGAATTTGATGAATTCATACCCTATTTCGAAAGTAAACATACTTTAATAGGTAGTGCAGTGTGTGGGTGAAAGGGGGGCAGTGTTTTGATGTGATCCGGTTATGTTGTGCTTCTGTGACTGCTTGTGTTGGTTGCTGTATGGTTAACAATTATGACAGTTAAAGTAACTAGGTTAATTTTGATTGGAATCAATTAAACAAAGTATTAATTATAATCTAATATTTTGGTTGTTTTTTGGTTTTGGGGTGGTAGCTTGGCAACAGAGCCGCGACGTCAACACCGATTCTATCGGCACAGTTCAGCATGGTTGTCTAACCGTGCCGAGAATTCCAGGTGTTGTCTGCAATATGTCATTCCATTTGGAAAGATTTTATTTACGCCACTACAGTTGCAGATCTAAGTCGTTCTGGTGTTTGAAGGTATTAAAAAAGGTAGTAAAAGGAGTTAAATTAAGTTCTGTATATACCCTGCGTAAACTTAATGTGCACATGTTGCCTATTACACACACAGGGATGTGCAGCAGCACACCAGTAGCACTGCGATTCGCTCCCTGTTGCATATGTAATCACAGCAGTGCTGATATACAGCAATATCGCAGTGCTATCAATGTGATAATGCACTTATACAACAGTTTGAAGGGGTAAGAGTGTAAAAAAATCTTATGGCAGGAGTCTCACACTGCCAGCCCACAAGCCATTTATGCCCCCCTCCTCCCTCGGGCCCACAACTGATGCCAAAAATATGAGATTCGACCCCCCCAAAGCATCTATTTTTATATCACTATCATTGTTGTGTAGTTGCATATAGCCACTTGGGGGTTTTCAAGATTTGTATAAAAAATGTGCTTCAGTAAAATTTGTCAATTGTTAAAGTAAAAGTGAAATATATATATATATATATATTAGATATAGAACGATATTAAGAACAATTGCCAGTAAATCTTATTTCTGCTGTTAAGCAACAATTGAATGGGACAGAATGATAATAATTAAAGCTGCAAGCAGCAATGAACGGGACCTCGCAGTACTTCCTGTTCCATGGTGAAGCACTGAGGCTTGTCATGCCACCACGGACACGCCCTTGCTAGAGCTTTCAGATAACACCAACCAAATATGGTGCTGACACGATAAAATTTGTGGAAGTTTCCTGTTGCCAGCAGGTGGCGCTATGACTGTAACTGGTTATTGGCATGTAAACGTGTTCAGGTCAGGACTCTTATCACAAGTGTGGATTTTGAGGCAGATCGGACAATGAGTTTTCAGCTTCCTGTTTCGTTGAAGTTTGCGAGGTCGCCACGGACACGTCCTTCAACAAAATTTTTCAATCTAAATTTAACATCGCTAAGGCCTTTAGATGACAACAGCCAATTTTGGTGTTGATCGGAAAAAATCCCTAGGAGGAGTTCGTTAAAATACAACGCCTGGAAATGGCAAAAATGCGACTTTTTCGGCGCAGGAAGTTTAAAATATCTGACTTCCTGTTGGGTTTGAGATTTCGCACCAGGTTGGTTTGCACTTTTTGTATGTTTTGGCATGTTTGACGTGTGTGCCAATTTTCGTGCGTGTGCACGAATCGTAGCTTGGTGGTCAGTCCGTCAAAAGTGCATAGGTGGCGCCGTCGAGTCATTTTGCCACACCCACTTCCGAAACCTATAACAAACGTAAATTTTCGCCACTTCTGGGCCGTGTGCAAAGTTTCGTGAGTTTTCGGGCATGTTTAGACCCTCAAAATTGCGATTCATTCCGCAGAAGAAGCGGAAGAATAATAATAAGAAACAAAGCAATTCCAATAGGGCCTACGCACCGTTTCAGTGCTCGGCCTCTAATTATTTATATTAAATTGTAGTATTTTCATAACAATTTAAGCTACCTCTTCAATAAAAGTGCATAAATTACATCAGGTTTCCACTTTTTTGTTGTGCTCGTGTAACCCTGCCGGTCCTACTAGTATCGAACCGGCAACCTTCCGCATGGGAGTCGGTTGCTCTACCAAGGAGGCTAAAGACCATGCCCTCTAGCATCTGTCGCTAGAGCACCTTTAGAGGTCAGAGGAGTGAGGTTTACCTGCACAGCACTCACTAGCTGGCCTCCGTTACACTTGAATGTTAAAGCGGCCCCTCAGTTGAATTGTCAGTCACTGATATGACCCTCCGCCAATTTGAGTCTGAGACCCCTGATATATGATAACGTGTGAGGCACATCACACCAGTAGCACTGCGATTTGCTCCCTTTTGCATATGTAATCACAGCAGTGCTGATATACCGCAATATCACAGTGCTGTCAGTGTGGCATGCATTTATACAACAGTTTGAAGGAGTAAGTGTGTAAAAAAAAAACCTAAGGGTGTCTCAGGAACTACTTTGTTCCAACTCAGATTCACATTTAAAGTCGACCGCATGCTGTAGCTAATTCATAAATGTCATATTAAAACAAGTACTTACATTTTATTTCGTTGAATCATGTCGAGAACTGTAATGCCTTTGTGATGATAGCACAGAGGATTTTATTCACAGGTCAAGGTTTTAAAACCAGGAACCAAAATCAATTCATCACCAAGAGCTCTGTCTGCTTGCTCTGAAAGAACTCTTGTTGTTGCATCGGAGAACTCGCCAAACATTAACTCTACTAAAGCCAAAGGAAACACTGATTAACTATGCAGTATAACTATACATCGACTGGGAGAATGGATTACCTTAATGTTTGTAATATATTAGCAATAGTTTTAAATGAAAAGGAAAATTACGTCTACTTTCAACAAATAAAGGAGGATTCCTGTTTGGGCTGTAACTATTAATTATTTTAATAATCGATTAAATCTATCGATTATTTATTCGATTTATTCGGATAAAAAAAAACTAAAAACAAGAAAAGCATTCATTTCTAGGGATGTAACGGTATTGTAAATACCGTCATACCGCAATATACATTTTTTTCGATATTACCGTTGTCGCATGACTCGGTAAAACTATAGGTCTTCTGAGAAAATTTGCTCAGGCGAATGAAGCGAACGGGAGGTAGCGAAAACTACAATTCCCATCAGCCCATGCTTGACCATCATCCCTTGCGGTCTGTTGTCGACACAGATCCAGTAATGTGGAAATGGAGTGTGCTGCTAGAAGCGGGGATGAAAAAGAGCTGGAAAACCCTAAATCGGGTGTTGTCGCCGCGCGCGTACTGAATAGTGGTGTTGTCGCGCGAGTTCTTATCAGCTGTGTTGTCGCGTGCGTTCTGATCAGCTGTGTTGTCGCGCGCGTTCTAATCAGCTGTGTACAGTACAGTAAAGCGGGTGGGGGAGGGGGTTGAGCGCGCATACTCAAGAGCGGTGTTGTCGCGCGCCTACTAAAGGGCGGGACGGAGGGTGTGTCGCGTCGGTCGCGTCGCGGGGCACTTTTGATCATTTTGGAAGGGAACTTTCTATCCAAGACTAAAAAGGGCATGTGCACTGCACAGGTTGAGCCCTATGTGTGCACGTGCCTGCAAGTTGGGGAACACGACTAATAACAGTCATGGGGACTGCAGAAACACAGCACACTGTTCAGATTGATGCAGACATGAGACCTCTATTTCACTCATGGTTTGTCCTCTCAAGTGTGGGAAAG